TGAAGAAATCTTACACGGGTTCCTTCTCAACTTTCCAGATGCAGTCTAACATGGACTCATCCTGAAGCATCCCCACACATGATCCTTCTCATACATCTTCGATGCAGTCTAACACGGACTCATCCTGAAGCAGCCCTACACAGGCTCCTTCTAATACTTTCTATATAACAATTAATTTCATCCTTCCTAGCAAGTTATTGTGAAGCCTGGAGTTCAACCAGAAAACAACAAACTTTCATCTCTCTAGTCCAGAGATTGCTCCTCAGTAGAGCCATGAACAACTGAAGTTCCTAGACTTCATTCCCTAGAATTTTCCTCAGGTAGGAGAACAATAGAAATCAACCTTCCCCAGTGGACTCCTCCTCAGACAGCAGGAACAAGAATTCCCCACAAAGGGACTTCTTATGAAGTCGGCACCTACGTTGGATGGCATCTTTAAGCCCATCTTCGACAACTCCCAATCATCTTTTCCAAATGGAATCTTTAAGCCATATCCCCATACAGTCAATCATCACATCATGCGAGTGCAAATTTCTGGGCACTCTAGTGTTCAATCATCTTCCACCTTCAGATCATGAAAGGCAAACAAGCCAATCTAAATCTTCAGGTTCAAGAAGATTGAACTGGGGCAGCTGTTGTACCCCAAAATTTGCCCTCTCCTATTTTCCAAGATTGTCTCTTACATGGGTGGTTACAAACACTTGGTTAGATAAAATATAAATTTTTTGAAGATAATCAAGTGTCTTTCGGTTGTCATATGCACAAGGTACTTCGATTGTGCATTTGGAACTCTTCGATCATGCTTTGATTAGTGAGCTTCAATTGGGTATTTGGCACCCTTCGAGCAAGCTTTGGCCCACGAGTATCATTCCAGAAATGCCCTTTGTGCGTGCCTTCAGCGCACTAGGAAAATACCCCATACGTGCGTGCCTTTAGCGCATAAGGCAAGAACCCCCTACAAGTTTGCTTCGATTCACCAGCAGTGGACTCCTGCATAAAAGCTTTGATTGGGCGATGAGTCTCCTTCGATCAAGCTTAATTCACAAAGCTTCCACTGGGCAAAAGGCCCCTTCATCTTTCCATCAACACATGTACGCCTCTTCATGCTTGCCTTTGGTCTACTAGGCAAAAGCTTCTTCATACTTTCTTGGGATTCACAAAGCAAAGGCCCCTTCAGCTTGCCTTTGATTCACAAGGAAAAGGGATTCTTCAAACTTACCTTCAATGCACAAGGAAAATACTCCCTCTATGCTTGCCTTCAGCGCACAAGGCAGAGGCTCCCTCTTCAGCTGTCCTTCGATTCACAAAGTAAAGGTTTCCTCTTCATGCCTACCTTTGTTTCACAAGTACATGATTGCTACATTATGAACACATTGGTGCCTTCGAAGGACCTACAATGGGTCCATTCGAAGGATACATAATTATGAGAAACCAGTTTGTTTTACGTTGAGTCCTGGGCCAAGATGTTTGCTGGCCAAAGTCCAACATGTTGCCAAGCCCAAGCCTCATGCACAATTGCATTCGAAGGAGGTAACAAGAGAAGTTTCGACTGGCCAGAAAGGAGTTTTTGTTTCGGCCAGTTGAAGAGTTTCAAATCAAGCTACTAAGGCAGATATGGGCTCAATCGAAGAAACCCTAATGATGAGGATTGGAACCATTCGAAGGAGGCAAATCTAGGCCAATCTAAGAGTAAGGACAAAGTGTCCTTCGATTGGCATATCAGAATAAGGTCTACCTTGAAGGAATGTTAGCAAAGTGTTCTTCGATTGGGATATCAGAACAAGATGTCTTATGATAAGCATATCAATAAAATCAAGCAATCAATACAAAAGTTGACTCAATCTAAGAAGTTCTGATAAGGAGGGTTCTGAACAATTCGAATCAAAACTCACAGCCATCAAAGAGAATAATGCTTGGGGGCTGATCGAAGACGTTCTGATAGGGAAAACTCTGAGTAGTTCGAATTCATACACGGCGACAATTATCACCTGTCCAGGTTCATTCCTAATTCCAAAATGGCATGAAAAGTCTCTAAATGGCAATCTTTAAATTTCTCTGATTTTATTTTCAAAGCCATGTTTAATGGCTGTTCTTTAAGGTCATGTTTCTTTTCCCATTTTCTTATCTCCTCCATCTCCTATAAATATACAACACATCACAAACCAAAAAGGTACAGACTACATACATACGCACAAGGAAAGACTACACGCACACACTGCCTCATAAGCCACACCAAAGTTATCAAAAATCTCATAAGTGATCCAAATCGAATTAATCTTCAACAATGCTCCACTCACTCCCTGAAGTTTACATGAGGCGTTCCCAAGCCCTAGGCAGGTCCAACATATACTGGAGTATCACTCATACAATCTGTCTGTTGGTAATTTGTTTTCGATCTCAAACTAGCTAAGTATGCAATTTCTAAATTCATGTTATTGCTAATGTTTGTTATTGCTTTCATGCGTCACATGCAAGATTAAGCGCAGGGATGGGATCATACCATGGCTTGGGTATGATCCATATTTTCTTTTGAATCTCAGGGTTCATGAGGTTGTAAGACAGACGGAGTAGCTTTCGATTCAGACCTAGAGGATCCGAATTAGGATTATACAACCACATGCTGTCGAATCTAAGACTAGATTCGATCTAAGTCTGGATCTTTATCTTGTTTTCTCTAATAAATTTCCTGCAGGAGTACAACATGCACCTCCAACAATATTCTATGCTGGATCGAAGGCCACATCCTTCCCTGGGTCGAAGGATGACTTCCTTCATTGGATCGAAGGTCATCCTTCATTGGATCGAAAGCCCCTTTTTCTTTGAATCGAAAGACTTGTCTTCTTGTATTTTTATTTTTTGTGTTACTCACTTCTTTTATTAGTTTCCCTCTTTAAATCAATATTAAATAAAAAAAACATCACAAAAAAATTAGGATTATATTTTATTAATTAAATTAATTCCTAAAATAATTAATTAATTAATTTTGACATCATCTTCTCAAAAATTAAAATAAATTAGAATTTAGGTTTAATTTCATTATTTAAATTTATTTTCTTTTCATAAAAATCAAAAATAAAACAAAAAGATTTCCTTTCACCTAAGACTTAGAGATTATTTTCAATTCGCGCGCATTTATTTATTTTCATACTTTTCATATTATTGTAACTGCCTAATGAGTTGTAATAGTTAGGGCTATATTCTCTGCTTTTCATTTTCTCCGCAGTTTTTTTGGACTATGTAATTAATCCCCCTCCCTAAAGCCATATAATAGCGTAGCTTTAATTCCCGCATTTTAATTCCCTGTACATATTAACTGTTAGATGTATGTTAATAGGATTGCATGATAAGACTAATAACCAAACGCTGGCAAACCTAACACAAAAGACAAAAAAATAACTGAATACAACACACTTGCACATATACACCTCTAAGGTACTCCCACTTTGGTTGCCTTCGGAAAATAAAACAGTCATGCCCCTCGAAAGTAGGGACGCTTTAGCAAAGACCCTCGAATCAAAAGATCATAGCCCCTCGATGAACCTTCAGCGTTGCCTTACGGTAAATGATCTAGTCCCTTAAACAAAATTGCTAAAGCGTCTCTATATGTTACCTTTATGACTATACGATGACCCACAAATGTCTCTCATACATCCAAACGACTATGGTTATCTACTCACTAATAGTAGGCTAGTCTTGTCTAAAGAAAAGGAGGAAAAGAACGACCCTTTCGAGTAAAGTAGATAGTTGTTAGATGCTTGCTCAAACAAACTTTTTACACCTACACAAAAACATTTCAAAACATTTTCAAAAAATGCTTTATCAACACTCTTGAGGACTGATATAAGAGTTATCATAAAGCAAATCACCACACTAAGGCACTTTCAAAAATACTTTTCAAAACACATAAAGCACAAGGTATTTCAAATGAGCTAAGCATCTAAGAGCCAGTAGAAAACTACTGATGGAAAGGGTGCTAACACCTTCCCTTTCCATAATCTACCCCCTTACTCAGAAATAATCTCGAAAGGTCTTTTTATGTTCTTTTCACTCTTTCTTTTGTTAGATAAAAGAAAAGTCGGTGGCGACTCTTGCTTACCGCAACATTTACGAACACAAACGCAAAATCAGTCTAAACAGTCGGTTCTGCTACCGTATCACATTGTGTTTCAACATGGTTCTTCAACCTCCAAGCCCCTATGATGGTACTAATAAAAGCTCTTGCGTTGAAAGGGTTTTTCGTCCACAGTTTCTCAGCTAGAGTACGCTGAAAAACTTATTCTTCACTAACTTCATCTGCCGCCGCTGTAATCCCTTCTTCATCCTTCTTGGTTAACGCAATATGTTTCCATTTCTCCATTACAATCACCCACCCAAGCCTAAACAACCAGATTCACAACAAACGAGAGAGAGAGAGAGATAACACTAAACCTTAACAAAACGATTAGAGCGCGCCGTCAATGGCTAACGGAGAGAGCTACAGAGGAACTGAGAAGAGAACCAGATAGATCTGTGAAGAAACCACAACCCTAAGGTATGAATGGGAAACACAATAAGTTTAGAAAGAGAAGGAGTGCCTTCTCTCTAAAAACACGTAAAAGTGATCCTACATTTTATAATATACTAATTGAGTCTATATTTTAGGCATATTAAATTTGTATAGTTGTGAATATTGTTACTAAATATCAAATACTAATTCTATTTTATGGAGAATTTTCTATGTAGAAAAAAAAGTAGTACAAACTAATTGGCAAAAGAGAAATATTTAATAGTAGTCATATACACAGAAATATCCTAGACAAGTTTGTCCAAATGATCCTAGTGAAAGATAGGTAAGCCCAAACATGGTTTGAGATCCTAATGATTATAAGTATTATGCACAAGAAGCTTATTCATGTTTCCAAAACTTGACCTCTCCCTTGGTAAAAAAATCTCACAATATCCACCACAAGCTACTTGTTTTTTGTTCTTGTTGGCCGCAACCTCAAATTTTATTCATCTACCTATACTTCACTTCCTTTTTCTGTCACAACACAAATATTGAAATTACAACTAACAAAACAAAATACTATTAACATGTTCTTTTATATAAATGGGTTAAAATGAAAGAAAATAAATTTAAATACCTGTATCACTATCTATATTATTAGTAGTAGTGTCAGAGTAAGTTCCATTTTCTGAAAATGGTGATCTATTTTCTATCTTTTTCATGCGACCAAGCAAATAAGTCTTATCTGCTTTAAAATCTTTAGCAGGTTGATTAGAATTGAGCCCATTATTATCTTCTTCATTGATCCTGGATGAAGGAGTATTATTACCACTATTTTCGTCTATAAAGCAACCATATCTGCTTCTGTAAAACTCCAATTCTGCTTCTAAAGCTCTTAGTTCTTCCTCTCTTTTGAGAAGCATTTCATTAGTTGCTTCTAATGCTTCCTCGTCATACTCGGCCTGTTCTTCCATCATTCTTTGATATTGCAAAGCTTCCATTTGCACTGCTGCTTTCTCAGCCTGTAACCTTGTTATCATAGCCATTGCATTATTAGCCGCAACAGCTGAAGCACTTCTTTCTTCATCCAATTCCATGTACAAGGCCATGAGTGATTTGCGGTCTAAACGAACTTGTCTTTTCAAATTACTTAGAATGGCATCATCAAAATCATTTTGAATCTCGTTGGAGTCAGATGCGGCAAATTCTGTCTTTTCCAATGGCGATTTCTTATTAAACTTGTAAGACCATCTTGGACTATTGTTTGTTGAATCTGAAAGTGGGATTCCAAAAAACTTATTACCTCTTGTAAAAGTTGGAGTTAATTTGCTTGAATCTTCATCCCCTAACTCTGGTAATAAAGGGACATTGGTAGATTTAGAATCCTCCCTCAATTTGACATTCTGGTGGCCATCCTCCTCCTCTAGAAGCTCGGAGTCATTTTGTGACATAAACTTGAGTGGTGTATAACCAATGTGAGGTAATTGTAGAGAATGAGATTCGGAATTTGAAAATGGAAAAGCTCGTGGTGAAGGAGTCGGGGCTCGAGCAAATGATTCAGAATGTCTACCTTTGGCAACATTATAAGAAGAAGATTTGACTTTCAATGGTTGTCCACAACATGAACATTTTTGAGGACTATTTCTGTCGACAACCTGCATCGTGGAACCATCATCATCTTTCAAACTCAACTGAATTGGTTGTCCATCTTCAACAAAGCACTCCAAATCCTTATGCAAAATCCCCACGAGTGATTTATATGTGTCACAATCCGACTCCTTCTCTGTTGCAAATGAAAGTAAACAGCCTTCACACATCTTTCTTATGTCCGACAGTTTCTTGTGATTATGGCAAAATGCAAGAGATGACATGTCTTTCTTATGAGTCTCACACACCGACTCGTTATAATAAAAATCCGGATTTCTATGAACCATTACATGGTCAAATCTTGTGCATAGCCAGCAAGGGATTTTCAATTCAAAGAACCTTGCAAACTCATTAGCAATGAATGCTAGAAACCCATCAAGAAATAATATTAATATTAATACCCATTCAAGAAGCATATAGATCACAAAGTGTGGGAATTTTCCCATTTCTTTCTCAACAAAATGAGAAAATGATCGACTAGCCATTTTATTTCTCTTTCTCTATATGCTGCAAATTAAGTGATTATTGTAAATATGCAACTCAGATTAATGTTGCAAGATGGAGGAAGATCATGACCTTGTTTCCGGACCAGATCGGGATCTTTCTCTCTCTTCTCATCTCACTACAAAGAAAGGTAGAGAAAAAATTGTTACTATTATTATTATTATTTATTATTATTATTATTATTTATTATTATTATTATTATTATTATGGCTTAGGAATTTGAAGACAATAATTTCATTGAGTTATGGATGGTGGACCTTAATTATCTTAAAATAGAACAAACATTTGTCGTGGAAGGCAGATAATTACGCTCTATCATCTCCTCTTCTTTTTTTAATTTCTCACTTTTCCTTTCTAAGTACAAAACACACATTTTCAAAGGATTTGGAAATAAAATAGGAGTCAATTTTCTTTTTTTCAATAATTAAAATCTGTGTGGACGCACCCGTTCAATATATAGCATAAAATATAAAAATAAATAAATTTTGTTCTTCTATGTATTTACAATGTCTAGTTTGTAATTAAAATTATATATAAATATTAATCCAACTAAATTCAATTTTCATTTTTTGTATAACAACATCATGAGCCACTATAGACAACTTATAAAATATGCAAAGTAAAAATAAGTAGATTGAGATCTATATGAAACCAAGTCATTAAACGTATACAAAATATGTTATAATTGAAAGTTACTACTATAAATGATTACAAACAAAATATGATTAAGATTCAATCAATCAAAAGTATCATATCTCAATAATAGATACCAACTCAACAATACAAATCACATTCATAACTCTATTTTTTACTCTACTTTTTATTATGCTAACACCAAAAGCAAATTGCTAAAACCAAAAGTATGCATGTAGTCTTTAACAACCATAAATTTTTTAATAAATATATTAACATTCACAATCCTAAGTAAAAAAAGTAAGACCATAAAAAGGGGATTTCTTGAATAATGTGTGCACTTTCACAAATGTGCTAAGTTCCCACAAAATAGTACACATTATTATTTTAATATTTCAAAAAACAGAAGATAGTACAACACAAGAGAGGGACTAATAAGGAAAGTCTTTAATCATTCAAATGTATTGTATAAATTATGGATTTGTTAACAAAAGGTGTAATAAATATGGTGTTTAAGAAGTTTACGATGAGTTTGGATATGAAGAATTTGGAACATTTGAATTAAAGTGGTGTATTGGAAGTCTTTAATACTTCATGTGTATTGTAGAAGCTTATAAGAGCGTTACGTTGGAAACAACTTATTAAAAAAATATTTCTGGAAATCTAAAAGTTAGAAATTTTGAAGAGGAAATCGATTTCCAAGATTAGGGAAATCAATTTCCACAACTTTTATTTGTTTTTCTGTTTTCTGTTTCAGTTGAGGAAATCGATTTCCAATTTTTGGAAATCGATTTCCGCCCCTTTGTTTTTGTTTTTTCAGCTGTTTTTTGGGTCTGTTTGATTTCAAGTTGTATTTTTTGTATCCTATAAATACTCTCTCATGTAATGTTATTTTAGTTAATGCCAATTTTATATTTCTCTTCAATTTTACTCAATTACTCTCTCTCTCTCTCTCTCTCTCAATATCTCCAAACTCACTTTATATTCTCCAATTAACCACTTTTCTCCATTGACTCACCAATCAAGCTTTGTGCATGTTCCAACATTTTGCAAAAAAGCCTTGGTTCTAATCTATTAATCTGTTACAAAGATAATTATTGTTTCCAATGATCGGGTCCCTACTAATCTTCCAACCATTGATTCAAAAACTGTGATAAGTAGTGCAAACAAATGAAAATTTTGTTTGGGTATGAAGACATTCTTGAAGTGGTTAACAATGGTGTTACACCACTCGGGGCAGAAGCTACAGATGCTCAGAAGATTTCATTTACGAAAGAGAAGAAGAAAGATTACAAGACACTCTTCTTGATTCATTCTTGCGTCGACAATGACAACTTCGAAAAAGTTGGCAATTGTGATTCGACGAAGCAAGCATGAGAGAAAGCTTATGAAGGGACTGATAAAGTAAGGGTGGTGAATTTACAAACTCACAAGCAACATTTTGAATTGGTTTAAATGGAAGAGAATGAGTCAATCAACGACTGCGTAACGCGCATTATGCGTTTGGTGAATCAAATGAAATCTTGCAGATAAACTATTTTGAAGCAGAATGTTGTATCAAAGATCTTGTGTTCTTTAACGTCCAGATTCGATAATATTGTGGTTGCAATCGAAGTATCAAAGGACCTTCCGACATTGAGCAAGGATGAGCTTCAAAGCTCGCATGAGACTCATGAACAAAGGATTGATGAAAGGGGAAATAACAAAGCTAAAGCGGAGATTGCATTGCGAGCACAGTTCAATTAGAAGATTAAAAGATCGAAAGGCAAATGGTCTTCGAAATGGAAAAAAAAATTTCAAAATTTTGGTGGAAAAGATCCACAAAATTCGAAAGCTTCTATAGGGAAAAGAGGTGAGAGCAACTCCAAAGGTAGTGGTCAAAGCAACTACACGAAGAAGGTTGACAAGAGTAATGTAAAGTGTTACAATTTCCATAGACTTGGTCATTTTGCAAGGGATTGTAATGTGAAATTAAGAGAAAATCAAAGCGATGAGGCTAAGGTTGCTCGATAGGAGGTGGATGATGATAACACACTTCTGGCCATGATCACAAAGGAGAATTATGACAGTAATAAGCTTTTGGACAGCAGCAGTAGCAGCTGCAAGTTGCTGGACAACAATGACAACATTTCGAAAAATACTGCAGAAATGCGTTTGGAGCAAAATATAATGGTAACGATTTAAGATGGAGTCCAAGGTTGTGATAAGTTCTACTTGGATTCCGGTTTTTCAACACATATGATAGGTAGAAAGGACTAGTTTACCAAAATCAATCAAGCCACGAAGAATAAGGTGAAATTCGTGGATGACACCACTTTAGCGACCGACGGGGTCGGTGATGTTTTGATCATGATAAGGGATGAAGGTCATTACTTGATCAAATATGTGATATACATTCCAGGAATTAAATGTAATTTCTTGAGTATTGGTAAATTACTTGAGAAGAATTATATGATTCACATGGAAAACAAGATTTTATGCGTTTTTGACTGAAATATGGTTGTAGTCCTTAAAACACCCATGGTTTCCAATGGACTTTCAAGATAGAGTTGAAAGTGATGAAGCATAGGTGTCTTGCTATAGTAGAAAGTCATGAAGAGTGGTTAGGGCACTACCGTCTTGGACATATCAATTTTCGAGACCTCGATGCATTACAAAGGAATGGTATGGTAACTGAGTTGAAAAAATCAATGTTCCAGCTGAGATATGTGAAGAGTGTGTTCAAGGGAAGCAACATAAGAGTATTTTCAGTAAGGATTCAGGTCATATGACCAAACATCACCTTGAGGTGGTGTATTCCGACGTATGTGGTCCAATGCAAGTTGACTCGTTTGGTGGCAATAGGTACTTTGTCACATTTATTGGTGATTTTAGTAGGAAACCATGGACAAAACTAATCAAGAGGAAGGATGAAGTATTTGATGTGTTTAAAAAGTTTAAGTCCATGGTTGAGCGGCAAAGTGGTCATGAAGTTAAATTCTCAAGATGCGTGGTGAAGGTAAGTATACCTTGATTGAGTTTGGGAGTTATTGTGATTAGAAGGATATATTGTGTGAGGTTGTGCCACCCTATACGCCTCAGCAGAATGGTGTTTCCAAGAGGAAAAATCTTTTGATAACGAACATGGTTCGTAGCATGTTCAAGGGAAAAGGCGTGCCGAATGAATTACAGGGAGAAGATGTTTCTACAACCGCCTATTTATTGAATAGGTGACTTACAAAGAAGCTGGATAAGGTGACTCCATAAGAGGTATGGTCTGGATTTAAATCAAGTTTATGTAATTTGAAAGTTTTCAGTTCGGTAACATTTCGACATATTCAGGGTCAACTTCGAAAGAAGTTAGTGGACAAAGGTGAGATAATGTTGCTTGTTGGTTATCATCCTACCAGAAGTTACAAATTATTTGATGTGAAAAGCAAGAAGATTGTAATAAGTCGAGATGTGATCGTGAATGAGGTAAGGTTGTTTGACAGCTGAAAATTGAGCATGACAGGTGTGGAAATTGATTTCCAAGATGAGGGTAATCGATTTCCTCCGTGATTTCTGCATAATAAGGCTCCTGAGACTGATTATGGTGTAGCTAAAATCGATTTCCCAAATGCTGAAATCAATTTCGAATAGGAAAATCAGAATTTTCAGAATTCTGCAGGTCTAATTCAGTAGTCGGTCGAAGTCAAAATATGAGACAATAGTAGACGACCAACTAGGAAAATAGGTTTGCCTCAGAGACTCCAATATTGTGAAGTATTATGGGATAATAAGATTAATGATGATGGTGATCTCATTCACTTTGCATTTATGACTAAATCCAAGCACGTCAGCACGGAAAAGGCATTAAGCGATCCAAAGTGGGTGTGTGCGATGAAAGAAGAATTGGAATCGATTGAGAAAAATAGTACTTGGGAGTTGGTTGATCTACCGGAACAAAAGAAGCCAATCAGAGTAAGATGGGTCTATAAAGTGAAGGAAAATCCCAAAGGTGAAATTTTCAAGCATAAGGCTAGACTAGTAGCGAAGGGATTTTTGCAAAGAGAAGGCATGGACTTTGATGAAGTGTTTGCACCTATTGCAAGGATATAAACCATATGGTTGGTTGTTGGTATTGCAAATAACAACAATTGGTCAATTTATCAAATGGATGTGAAATCCGCGTTTTTGAATGGTCCACTTGAGGAGGAATTTTATGTAGAACAACCACCTGGTTTTGTTGCGACAAACTAGGAGGGAAGGGTCTACAAATTGAAGAAAAAGCTTTATGGTTTGAAATAAGCTCCTAGAGCTTGGAACAAACGCATTAATTGTTTCCTAGTTAATGTTGGCTTCAAGAAATGTGTTTATGAACATGGTG